CAGCCCGCCGCGCAGATGGCTATCCGCTGAGGCCGGGGCAGCGCCCTCCGCGCCCTCCGCCCTCGTCGCGCTGTCTCCGTCGCACCCCTTGGGGCGTACGTGGCACGGCACAGTGGGCCAGAAGGCCGGTGGAGGCGGCCAAAAGTCGAGACGCGTTTTGAGCTCCAGAGTCGCTAAATGGGACTCGGACCGAACGTGTGACCCCACCAATGGATTGCTCTCCGAACGAGGAATCCATTGGTGGGGTCACACGTTCGGTTCCAGTCCCATTCAGCGACTCTGGAGCTCAAAACGCGTCTCGACTTTTGGCCGCCTCCAACGGTCTTCTGGCCCACTGTGCGTGGCGCCCCGTGAGTGCGAGGGAGACGGCCGAGACGGTGGCGACGGGTCGACGGCAGCACTGTTCGGAATCTGCCGGCGGTAGCGCCCAGGAGCACTGTAAGGCTGCACCACTGCGAACACCGCGCAGCGACGCGTCTACCGCCCTACAGTGTGCAGGCGGCAAGCTCCCGATTCATCATCCTGCGGGAACCTGCTGACGCCCCTTGGCCTCGCCGCGACCACCGCGACGACGCTCGCCCCGCCGCGTTTCCTCGAAGAGCGCTCTGCTGCAGTGTGGTATCGCTGTCGCGCGAGGAGGGCCGTGCTGCGTCGCCAAGTCGCCCGTATGTATGTATGTATGTATGTATGTGTGTGTGTGTGTGTGTGTGTGTGTGTGTGTGTGTGTGTGTGTGTGTGTAGGTGTGTGTGTGTGTGTGTGCGCGCGCGTGCGTGCGTGTTGTGGAGTCGGTGCGTTGCGTGCACGCTTTCCATCGCGCCCCGCGAGGACTCGACCGAGTGCCCCGGGCAGGTACTTGATTCCGAACAGCACACACTCTCGTCGCCCCCTCTCTCTCTCTCTCTCTCTCCCTCTCGCTTACGCGGGTCGTTCCGCAAGGGTGCGAGCGAGACAGAGCGATAGGGCGCTGTTGGCTGCCGCGATAATGGCGTAGAGGACGCTGGCTGTGCTCCGCCGCTCCGCCGGGCTTGGTGTGGTTCATGTCGGTGTATATCGCCCCAGTCGACCCAGTCCTCGTCAGGCGCAGCCACGCCGCCACGCGCCGCCCGGTGCCGGGGCAGTGCCGGGGCAGTGCCGGGGCGTGCCCCCGCGCCCCTTCGCCCCCGCGGACATCCGGCTCCCCCCCCCCCCTTTTCCTTTTCCTTTCAGCGAGTGGTGTATGGAGGCCGCGCGCACCGCGACTGTTGGGCCGCGAGCTCAACAACGTCGTACCACCACTGCACGGCCTGCACGGCGGTGGTGGCGAGACGAGTGCAGCGAGTAGAACTACTAGCTTGTTGCTGAGAGTCCGTCCACCAGCATGCCTGGAAAGACCCCTCTGCTCGGCCACAATTTACTCCCCGCGCGCACATGCACTCACACACACACACACACACGCGCGCGCGAGGGAGGGCCCGCATGCAGGCATCGGATTGCGACGGGGCCCGTCGATAAAACAGCTTTCCAATTGTGTTTATGACGGCGTGCGCGCTCGCGCCCGGGCCCTCGCACGCCGCAGGCTCTTTCCGAAAAGTGTCGCTCGCTCCGTCTCTCTCTCGCTCCCGCCCCGCATGGTGCACCATACGCCATGGCGTGAGGGATGAAGAGAGAGCGATGAACCACTATACACTCGGAGTCCGCCCGGACCCGGAAGGACCGCGACCCGCCTCGTTGTAATAATCGCCCTAATCGTCTTATTACTTTATTTGCCCCACGGCTGCCGCGTCGCCGCTCCTCGCTGGGCGCGGGGACTCCGGGGGCGGGGCGGGGCGGGGCGGGGCGGGGCGGTACTTGGGCGGGGCCCAGCCGGTCGTACTCGCAGCCCCAGCGGGCCCCTGGCCGGCCTAGCCGCCCTGGCCGCCCTGGCCGCCCTGGCCGCCCTGGTCGATGTGCGGCGGCGCCTCGGCGCGGTGCTCCGCTTGCAGCGCTCTCAGGCTGGACGAGGAGCATGGACGGGCCACGCCACGCCGCCCCAAGGAAACGGAAGGGACAGTACGGGGAATTCGTATTTGCTGACCTCCTGGAGTTGGCTGCCGCTCTTCTGTCTCTCTCGCACACTGGCAGGACTCCCGGACTCCCGCGAGTGCGAGCGAGACAGAGCGGCGCTGTCCTGCCGTCCAGTCCGCTGCCCTGCAATGCATGCAATGCATGCCCACTTCACTTTGCCGTGAGTCACTTCGCGGGGCGGTTCAAGACGAGGCGGGGCAAAAAGAAAAACGGTCCCCGGAACCGGTATTTGATCTCGCAGACAAGGACACGTGTTGCCCGAGTGGAGCCACACAGTGGAGCCGAGCTGCTGGCTGAGGCCACTTGGGTCGTGTTCCTTGTCGCACCGCGCTCGTTTGCGAGAGAAACGGGCGCCGCTGAAATGTTGCGATCTCTGCGAATTTCTCGTTGTCGGCGGCGGCGGTTGTGGCGGTGCGGGGTGGCGGCGGCGCCCCCTGCCCTGCCTTGCCTTGCCCTGCCTGCCCCTCGGGCACGGCCAGCACGGGGTTCATTTTTACGGGGCTCTATGGAAGTCGTAAAGAGGCCCGCCCCGCAGCACCGCCAAGCACGTCCCGTGTCCTGCACGTCCTGCATCGGGTGCTCGCGGTGGAGGGTGCGGGCGAGTGGGGGCTCGCACCAGCTCGCACACTTGGAGCGTCTAAGCCGCCGCTGCGGCACGTCACCAGCAGGCTGATTCCGAACAGTTTGCTTCCTCCGCCGCGTCTCTCTCGCACCCCTGCGGGACGCCCCACGAGTGCGAGAGACGCGGCGACGGAAGCACTTTTCGAAATCAGTCTGGGAGAAGAGTCCGGCGCACGCTTCTCCGGTCCCTCCTCTTCCTCGGCCTGCTCCACTGCTAGGGAAAGGGCAGCGCTATTTCCCCCCCCCCCTCCCCCGGGCCATTCACCCCGCTCACCCCGTTCCGATCGGAGTGATTCATTCGCCGTCCGGTGGCGGCCCCAGATGGGCCCGCTGCCCCTGCGCTGGACTCCAGGGCTCCAGGAGCGGGCTCCAGGCTCCAGCGGCCGCTGTGCGCGAAAGTCTTTCCTGCGCGGCCACTGGCCACTTCCGAGTTAAATCGCTCTTTGGTCGTTGTCTCCGAATCGGGAACGCGCCGCAGCGTGCCTGGAGGGACGGACGCGGCGCCTGGAGCCGACCGCGCCAAATCAGTTTTCGGCGTGCTTACGACAGCAATTCTTGTGATTCAAGGGGATAATAGTGTTAACTCCACGCACTATATATATTCGAGCAAAAACGCCCCGAAAATGTCTCATCGAAATGCCGCTTCTACGCCTCGCCTGCCGGTGGTGCTGGAGCCTCCAGCGAGACGTCGCTAACGAAGTTCTCCAGCAGCACGTGACCCGCGGCCTTGGCGTCGCGGCGCGTCGCGGACGGGGAGGGTGACTATGTCGGCGCGATGAGTCCAGAAGGTTATAACGCGATTCGACACAAGAGGCAATCTCTGAATTCGGTTATCTCCTCGCCTTGCCTCGCTCCCCTTGCTCGGCTTGGCTTGGAGGTGCCGGCATGGCTGGCGGCTGCTTCGCAGAAATCGGCGAATAACGTGGGGCGCGCGGGGCGAGCTGGCCGATTCCGAACGACGCTTCGTCGCTCTGTCTCTCTCGCACGCGTGGGGCGACCCGGGGGTGCGAGAGAGACGGAGCGACGAGGGGACGCGGCTCGTCTCATCGGTCCTGGAAATTGAATAATGATCACGCCAGGCGGCATAGTGTTTCGGATCGACCGGCTGGACGCCCCCCCCCTCTCTCTCTCTCTCTCTCTCTCCCTCTCTCTCTTTTCGTGCGGCGCAGGCAGCAGTGCGACAGAGACAGGGAGCGTTGTTCCTTCGTCTTCGAAGCGCCACGCTGAAATGCGGCGCTCGGCAGGAGGACGCACTTACGAAAACGAAGAGTTTGAGATACATTTGTCGCGTTGCTTTTATCTTTGTCCGTCGGTTTGTTCCTGCCTTAACGCCATTCTCGCGGTGATAGGTGATTGCGATTCGGGTTCGCCTGCTGACTGACTCCCTAGAGTCGTCTTGGTCGCTCTGTCTCTCTCGCACTCAAGGGGCGTCCGGGATCAGCGCGAGAGAGGCAGAGCGACGAAAACGACTCTCGGAATCAGTCTGCTGGTTCGCCACCATCGGTCCGCATCGGACAATGAGGGGCCGAATGAATAACACCGTTCGGCAATCCCTCGCAAACTTTTGCCGGCGCTTTGTGTTCTCCGACAGTGCGCTGCTCTCTCGGGCAATGCTTTTCCATATTTGCATACTGGCGGTCCAATAATTGCGCATTGCGTAAGCCGAGCGGAGCCGAGCGGAGCCAGGTCGAGTGGCCAAGGCGAGGCGCCGGCGATACGACGTGCCCAAATTAAACCCCCAACTCTGTAAAAAAAAAGTCCAAGGTCACGGACACTCACTAGCCAACCAAACAGAAAAAAAAACAAAAAAAACTGTTTTTGATTTTTTCCCCGGGGGTAGCCTATGGTAGAGATATGGGTGATTTCCAGGGAGTTCCTGGCAGAACCAGGAACAGTTTTTGTCTCGCAAAGGCGAAAAGCACGAACGAAGAGAGGACGCTCTGCCTTGCGACAAGACAAGGGATGTCGCGGTCTTAGAAGTGGAACCGATTCCACACGGCGTTCGAGGTCCGTGCGGCTTCTCGTTTCTCTAACAGTGCACCGCGCGAAAAAGGCTCCGTGCGCCACGTACTACGCCCGGCCTGGCCCGGCCTGCCCGGCCCGCCGCCGCCCCATCCGTCGCAGATAGCTTATCGTTTTTTATTCTATTTTTTTTCCCGTCTCGTTTCGGCAGCTGCGCACGCCGCTGGTTGTCTCAAGGCGAGGCGTTAGTGCGAAACGGTGCAAGGTTGGCCAGCGCCAAAGTCGTCCTTTGCGGTTTTCGACGTGTGTGTGTGTAGGTGTGTGTTGGTGTACGTGTGACCCCGTATGTGTGTGACACTGTGTGTGGTTGCAGGGCTGGCGCCGGCTGCGCCGGCTGGCCTGGGGATGGCTATGGTGGGCGGCGCCGCGTCGCAGCCCCCCCACAGCACCTGGCCGCCCCTGGCGCACGCACAAGGTAAGCCCACGACGACTTGACTTGCAAACGTAGAAGAATAGACTCCAAAAGAAAGCTTTGGACGGCGCACAGTGGGCCAGAAGGCCGGTGGAGGCGGCCAATATTCTAGACGCGTTTTAGAGCTCCAGAGCCGCTAAATGGGACTCAAACCGAGCGTGTGACCCCACCAATCGATTCCTTGTTCGGAGAGCAATCCCGAGCATTCCATTGGTGGGGTCGCAAGTTCGGTTCGGGTCCTCATTAGCGACTTTGGAGCTCAAAACGCGCCTAGAATTTTGTCCGCCTGCGCCGGTTCTTCAGGCTCACTGTGTGGTGGCCGTTTGGCTTCGGCTTATGCTGTCAAGTGACAGACTTTTAGGTGCAGGACTCGTCCCATGAGACGTGCATGCGTTCGCTAGAAGCAAGAAAAATGTGGTGCTCCCACTTTTGAAAGAAAACCACCATTCAAAAAAAATTGGTCTTCCAACTTTGTTACAAAAACAAGAGGACTTTTTATTATCAAACAGAGCAATTTCTAGTACAACGAGTAACCGTGAAACATGCATGGTAGCTGGTGGCTGGTTTCGCCTTGCTGCTGCTGTTGGGGTGCATTGGATTGGATTGGATTGGGCGGTGCTTCTGTTGTTTCTGTTTGTGTTTTCGTTTGGCGCCGCGGTCCGCCCAGGCCCGCCGCGCCACGCCGTGGTGCGGTCGGCCAGGTCGGCGCCTCGCTAACGACCCGCCAATTACGGTCCGTGACGCGACGGGCATGGCCCCGTGTGTCCGCCGCGCCCGCCGCGTTCGCAGTGTAGTGTCCACTACTGCACGCTGCCCGACGCGCCGCGGCGCCACCGCGCTTCCGGCCCACAGACGCTGGCGGGCGCTGCCGGACACGCCGACAGAGGCTGGCCTGGGCGCAGCGTTTGCCCGCCTGAGTTTGGGTTGGGAGCAGTCTTTTGGCTCTAAGCCGGTCGAACCGGTGACAAGTGTTAGGAAATCGTGTTTTGGACTGACTTTTGGCGGCCACTGCGCCCAATCCAAGGCGAGAAATCGTACTCCTTCAACGGGGCAGTGTTCTTTGATGCATGGCCTTTTTGCGGAGTTCGTCCTTCCTCGTCGGGCCATGGCTGCCTGTGGCAAAATTCTTTGTGGATACCGTTGTTGAATATCTCAGAATGCAGGTTAATATTTCAAAATGTTCCAAAAGTGCTTTCTCTGATGATATGCACATAAGAACATGGCACTATGGACTTGAGGATATGATCATCGCGGCGTGTACAGCGTGAATGCCCCCTTGGGAGGGAAGCTTACGGTGATGCTCGCCCAAGGCGGTGGTGTCCGTCGCAGCCTGCCCTTACATGAAATAATGCTGACGAAGGCCCTACTCTGCAATGGCTTCGCCCCCCCCCCCCTTCCCCCCGGGTCCCTTACACCGAGTGCTACTGTCGAGCTGGCGGCAACTTGTGCGGGTGAAATCCCGCCCCCTCCTCCGGGCCCCTCCGGGCCCCTCCGACGTCGTCCACCACCGGGGCCTCCCGGGCCTCCCTCCAGGGGGCCGTCCCTGAGCGACTCGGAGCGCCCCGACGCCGCCCTGCCCAACACCTTGCGGCAGACTGATTCCGGGAGTCGTTTTCGTCGCTCTGTCTCTCTCGCACCCGAGGGGGCAACCATTGTTCGATGATTGGGGGCACAAGATTTCTTAAGACAAGAGATTTCGTTCCAACTTTACGCCTAAAATCTGCTTGTTTTTGGCTTTTGTGGGAAAGATTTCGGATTTCCAGAGATTTCTAGGGCTCCAGGGGACACAGGATTTCCCGAGTGGTTGCCCCCTCGCTCGCACCTATGGGAGACACCCCGAGTGCGAGAGAAACAGCGACAACGACTCTCGCAATCAGTCTGCAGTGCTCTTAGCTCCCAGCATCGGCGGCTGCCTTTGGGCGAGGCTGCGACCCCGGTCCTGCCGGCGGTTGCTTTTAAGACTGCCTCACTGGGACCCCTGGCACCATGGGGCACACCGCGCAGGTGGATCAGGATCCGGAACGCGCCCCGGGCGTTGGCACCTCCCCGTCGACGACAGTGGCGACAGCACAGCGACAGCACAGCGACAGCACAGCGACAGCAGCCCGACGTTTTCAATCTCGGCCAATTCTCTTAGCAACACGGCGCACCGGGGCGCGGCGGACCCGGGGGCGGACTGATCGCCGACGCTCCGTCTCCCTCTCGCACTCGCGGGGCGTCGCGTGGCGGCGCGAGAGAGACGCAGCGTCGCAATCGCCGTCCCGGAGGCCGCCGGTCGGGGGGATTAGGCGGAAAGTGATGGGGAAAATTGGGGGGCGGGCGTAAGCGCGGCGATACGAGGGGCGGTAACGGCGGTGCGAGCGGAACGCAGAGCTGGGGGTAAACGGCGTGGAGGGATGGCGTACGCCCCGCCACGTCTCGCCTCGCCGCGCCTCGCCACGCCTCGCCACGCCCCACCACGCCACGCCTCGCCACGCCACGCCTCACCACGCCACGCCGCGCTTGGAGGCGGCTGGCGTATGCCCCCTCCCCAAAACACGGCAGCCCAAACAGCGCCTCACCTGCCGGCCGCGCCGCGGACGCCTGCGGGCGACAGCGACACTGGAAGGAGAAAGAGGCAGAGAGAGGGAGAGAGAGGGAGAGCGAGGCACCGAGACCTTTCCCCGTGCGGAGGAAGAAGAAAGGAGAAGAGCGCGCCGAGAACAACGATCCGTCATTCCCATGATCAGCGAAACTTTAGTTTCCGCGGGCTGCCAGCCTTCTGCGTTGAGCTTCGCGAATGGAGGTTAGTCGCTCGGATCGGGACGCGCTGCGAATATCGTTCGGCGTTCGGCCTCGGCCCCATCGAGCTCGCTTTTCTCGGAGAGCACAACGAACTTGGCCCTGCTCTGCCGCTTTGCAGTGGATGCGGCGCCACACCTGCGGCATCTGCGCCAGCGCGGCAGTAGCTCTCCGTCTCTCTCGCTCCTCTGCGAGAGAGACGCAGCGACGCCAAAGTGCCGTTTTCGGAGTGGGCCCGCAGGCAGATGCGCTGGAAGTTCCGGCCGAGGTTCGCCTCGCGCCGTTGCCCGTGCCTCGCGACCACTGTAGTGCACACCGCACACCGTAGGGCACACTGTAGTGCACACTGTAGAGCACTCCGTAGGGCACACCGTAGTGCACACCGTACTAGTGCACATCGTAGTGCACACTGTAGTGCCGCGGACGACGCGCAATCGGCTGGAAGTGGGGGAGGGCCTAGGACGCTTTTCCAGGAACAAGGGCCTGGAGGGCTAAGGGCACGCCGGGCGCGGCCGGGGCCAGCCGATGGGTCGGTGCGTCTTGTGTAAGACGGCCTCATTGTGGGCGACGAAACACAAAACGGAATGAAGGGACTCTCCGACGGACAAAGCGGCCTGTCCTATCCTGGACTGGCTGGACTGGCTGGAGTGGCGGCAGGCACGGCCAGGCACGGCTTGCTGAGTTTGCTCGGCCTGCACAGGGTGGCACAGGGTGGGGCGGAGCGCCGTGCCATTATGCAACCCGCGCGCGGCGCTGGCGGCGGCCTGCCTACCTCCACGGCGGCGAAAGCAGGCCGGGTGGAGTGGCTGGGCTGCACTAGCTGCGCGCTGCGCTGCACTCACCGCGCACCCCGTTCTGCTTGTTCGAGCCGAGCCGGGCCGGGCCGGGCCGAGCCGGGCCCCATCTGCCCCTTTTCCCGGGGCACTCTTCTGGCCGTTCGCCGCCCATCTCCACTCCCCTCTCCCCCGTCTCGTCGGTAAATTTGGTGTCGTCCGTCGGGTTCCGGGAAGCGGGGTCGCTTTACAAGCGGTGCGGGCTATCGCCCCTTGGTGAGGCCGACGGGGCGGGGGCGGCACGGTGGGGGCGTCGGCGCCGGCCGCGCCGTCAGTGTCGCCTTGCGGCCCCCGCGGCCCCCGCGGCTGTGGCCCTCGGCTTGAGGGCGCAGCGCGGCGTGGCGCCGACGGCACACTGCCAATCGCATGCCTGCTTGCTCGGCTTGCTTGGCTTGCTCCAGCGCGCTGCTTGCTGCGTCTAGAGTCCAGAGTGCTCACTCCGCCGCTTCTTGTCGCCCATCGAACCAGCCTCATACTGCTTGTTCATTTCGCACTCGCCCGCCAAACCTAACCTTCCGGCTGCCGGGAAGGCAGGACGCCGACGGCGTGGTGCTGGCGGCATGCTGGCGGTGTCCGCGGCCGCGCGGCTACTCTGCATGGCGGCGCCAAGTGGCCGCGGCATTCACTAACCCTCGAGCATGCCTCGCGCTTCGCTTGGGGAAGGCGGGGCCGGCGGGGCTGAGGGTGGCGTGGTGCGGGGCTTCCGGGCCGCGGTCTGGACCAGAATGTCAGGCTGGTGGTGGTGGTGGCGCGACCCCCGCCGCCCCGCCAGGATCACGCCGGCATGACCGCGGGCCAATGAGGAGGTTCGCTTTTAGCGGGAAACTTGATCCGCGGTGTTGGGCGATAGTTGGCGACGAGACTGATGGCTCACGGCTGGGGGCTGGGGCAGCGCCTCGGGCAAGGCAACCAAGGCCCTAACCGCGGCGGGCGTCGTGTTGCAGGCTGCCTGGGCCAAGGCATCGGTCAAGGCATTGGCCAAGCCATCAGCCCGCTCAGCCCCTACGGCCCGTACCGCTACTACTCCCTGTACGGCGTGCCCTCCACGGATGCGGTCCCGGACGTGGCCAGGGACGCCGCCAGGGACCTCGTCCCGGACCGAGTCCCGGACCCCGGGGGCGGCCTCGGCCTGGGCCTCGGCCTGGGGCTGGGCCTTGGACTCGGCGGCCTCGTCGGCGCCGTGCCCGCGGCCCGGTTCCCCGCCACGGCGGCCACGGCCTCTGCGGCCACCGACCTCCGCAGCCTGGCGGCGCCAAAAGGTACGTACACAGCCTCCGCGCGCGTGCGGACCTAGCGAGCTGTTGAGGGACTGTTTGCCCGCAGTCGGCGAAAATGTTGCAGGGGGTTGGGGGCTCCACCACGCCACACCCCTCCACTTGTTTGCCCGTTTTATTTGCATGCTCCCTCCTCCGGGCGGGGCGGGGCGGGGCGGGGCGCCGCCATCTGGCCGCGGCGACGCGTCGGCACGAACGGCCAGCCGAAGCCCCGACTGCCCGGCCCCTCCGGCCCTCCGGCCCGGCTCCGGAATTGAGTGGGGATTAAAAGGACGATGGCGAGCTTTTTTTCACGACCGGATGGCGATGGCTAGCGAAAAGTGTGGGCCCTGGCGGACGGGATGTCTCCACCCCGCCGCACCCCGCTCCGCTCCGCCTCCAGGTTCCAGGCGGCGTTCGCAGCGTGGCTGGCGTCGCACCCCCTCGGCAACCCCCACCCCGCCCCACCCCGCCCCACCCCGCCGGACAGCCCACGTAGCACGCAGTATTGCGGCGGCGAGACTTGGGGGGCGCAAAGTTGGATACGCTCGCCTTTTTTGCGGGCAATATTTTGGGGCTCTGATTGAATCAGTCTGGAGGCCAAGTGGCCCGTCGGCCCGCCGAGCCGAGCCACGCCGCCGTCGGGATTCGCCGTCACCCCTCCATGCGCCGCCCACGGCTCGCACCGCGCACCGCGCGTCTCGCTCTGTCTCTCTCCTCGACGGCAGACTCCGTGAGAGCGAGAGAGACAGCGCAAGAAGTACGGGCAGTTGAATTGCTCGACTGTAGACTGATACCGCACAGTGCGGCGGTCGCCCTCTCTCTCTCTCACACCGGTGCGGAGCGCCTCACGAGTGTGAGAGAGAGACCTCCCACTCAGTCTGCTGGCGCTGGCAGACGGCGTCGTGGTGGCTGTGAGGCGGCGGGCCTCGGCGCCCCTCAGGGTGACGTCACCCCACGCCGCGGCGGCCACCCCTCGGGTGTTCCCACGACCCATGACGCGACCCCCACTCCGAGGTGGCCTCATGGCGCGTGACGTCACCCCCACTCCGGGATGGCGGCGGCCGCTGCGCCCCCTTAGGGTGACGTCACCAGCGGCCACCCCTAAGGACGCCTCGCCGCCCTCGCCCCCTCGGGCGTGACGTCACCCCCACCCGGAACCCTGGCGCCCCCCGCCCCACCCCACGCCATGTTGCTCCGCCGCTTCCACCGCGCCTATTGATCGACCGGCCGGCGTGGCGGCGTGGCGTATCGGCCTGCCTGCCCGGGGCTGCCCGGGCTGCCGCTGCCTGGGCTGCCCACCCTGGCGGGGCCCCTCCCCGCCGCCACCCCTGCCCGCCCGGCCCGCCTCGCCCGCCTCGCCCACGGCCGCGCTGCCGGAAGGTGGTCCCGGAGCCTGGACCCCGGACCGCCTGGCCTGTCTCAGATGCTGGGGGGATGTTGCGAGTCTTCCGTTCCGTTCCGCTTCCAGGGGGTGGCTGCGACGCTGCGACGCGCTGCGGCGGCATCGCAAACGCCGCGCGGGTAGGCCGTCCCGCCGTGCAGGGCGGCGCCCGGGACTGCCTACCTTCCAGGCGTCTGACGCTGTCTCGGCCGTCTCGCGCCCTGCGGTGGAGTGGAGGCTTTGCTTGTTGTGGCGGGGCGGCGCGCGGCGTAGGCGGGCCACCCCTTCTCCCTTCAGCTCCAAGAGGGCATCGCTCTTCCTCCTCCGCGGACCTTTGGCCGCCGTGCCGTGCCGTGCAGCGCCACGCCGCGTCTATTTCCGAGGGAATAAACACGCTGTGGGCGCTGGCCCTGCAGTGGCGTGCCCTGCCGTCGCGGCCAGCCAGCCAGCCCGCCAACCAGCCCGGCCGGCCTTCCCTGGCGGTGACAGTTTCCCGAAATAGGAGCGCCAGCGCCCTGCATGGCCGCCCCGGCCCGCCCCGGCCCGGCCCGGCGACCCACAGCGGCCAAGGCAGGCCAAGGCGAAATGGTTTGGCCGAGTGTTTTGGCGTTTTGCAGGGCCGCTGGTACCACGGCCACGGGTCGGATCGGTCGGCTGGAGGAGCCAGAGCCAGAGGGAGAGAGGCGCCGAGACCTTTCCCCGTGTGAGGGAAGAAGAAAGAAGAGCGCTCCGAGAACAGCAACAACTTGTTTTCCTGGAGCAACTAATTCTGTTTTGCCGGCGCGTTGTGCTGGCTGGCTGCGCTCGGTCTTGCAGCCTTTCTTCTCGTCCTTCTGGGCCTGTGTCCCGGGCCGGGCCGGGTAGGCCGCGCCGTGGCTGTGTCAATGAATAATGTAGGCCGGCTTGCGGGCCGCGTCTTGGGCCGCGCGGCGCGCAGCGCGCACACCAATAAGTCAAGGGTGGTTTTAAGGTCAGCCGATCTAGTGCATGCCGCGGGCACCGCGGGCACCGCGGGCCACAGGCCGCCTCCGAGTCGCCTCCGAGTCTCCGAGGCGAATACCATGCCTCGCTTCCTCCGGTCGGCGAGGGGGAGGTGAGGGGAGGGGGAGGGGAGGCAAGCGCTGCTGTAGTCAAGTGGGAGTTTACCCGCACGCCGCCGGCCCATGCTGGACTGGCTGGCTGGGCTGGCTAGCCACGGCGGGGGCACCTTCTAATGAAGCTTAATTTGTGTGGGATGTCGTCCTGCAGTGCAGCAGCAGCGGCGGCGGCGGCGGCGGCCCCGGGCCCTTCGCGCCGTTTAGGTTGCCGGCTGCCCTGCCTCCCTCCCTCCCTCCCCTTCCCCGGGGCGTCGCCGCGTCGCCGCGTCGTGGCTCCTTCTTCTTCCTCGTGTTGCGTCGTGTGTGCTCGGTGCTCGGCTCGAGATCCAAATCTGCGGACCGGGCGGGGCGGGGCGGGGCGGGGCGGGGCGGGACGGGGCGGGGCGCCACGACAACGACGGCGAGTCGCGCCGCGCGAACGAGATGGAGAGATTGAAAGCGTGTCACTTTTGGCGGCCCGACGGCGCGCCACGCCGTGCCGCGGGGTTGTACAGTGTACAGTCCCTCCCAGAAGGACCCCTTCCGCAAGGTGATGCCCGCCCTCGGCATGGAATAACTTCGTTCTCGTGTATGTGTGTGTGCATGTGCGTGAGTGGTAGTGTGCGCGCTTGTGTGTCTGTGTGTGTTCGAGTTGGGTTCGCCGAGCAAACCGCGTACGATATGGCCCCAAGACCCAGGGCGCTAAAAAAACGTGCTAATTCCTTTGGCGGCCCGTCCGTCCCCCCGCGGGAGTCCGTGTGGCTGGCTGGCTCTGGCTGCGCTGGCTGGCGAGGGGCCCGGAGGAGGCTCACGATGCCCCCGTTCTGGCTGTCGGGACTCAGACTGCGCGGTTCTATGCGAGTGGCCGAACTTCCAGCCGGCCTGGCTGAGCGTCTTTCTTTGATTGGCGCTCCGCTGCGGGGTGGTGGCCCCGCCCGCTCGTCCTGGGGCCGCCGTTGGAGTGCTTCGTCTTCGCACACGACCAGTGTCATCGCGGTCCCTTATTAATTAGCGACCGCCCCGCCTCAACTCGCTGGCGGCCGCGCCGTGGTGGGCCGTGGCATGGATTAGGTCAGGGGTCGGCGCGGCGAGTCGAGCCGAGTCGAGCCGAGTCGAGCCGAGCCGAGCCGAGCCGAGCCGAGCCAGCAGCCAGCCCGCGCCGAGGCGCCGCCGTCGTGCAGCGCGGCCAGCGAGCTTCTAATCGAACCCGCTCTGTGTATGTTGCGTAGCGAAACTTAAGGAGAAGTTACGAGCGCGCCCCGCCGCGACTTGCGCGGTCAGACCGACAGACAGACCGACCGGCGGGCGGACAGCCGGGCAGGGCGAAACGGAGTAAAAGAGCGCAGCGCCCGTATGCACTTAGCGAGGCACTGCACTCGCTTCGCAGAGCCGCACCTGGGGTGGAAGGCGTTCCGCCCCGCCCCGCCTTGCGCCTGGCTGGTAGGCACGCCCACGGGCCCACGGGCATCGGCACGCACTTTCCCTTTCGTCGTCGAAAGCACTTGATGCGGAAGCCCCAACAGTGCGGCCCGGCATTGTGGCCGCGGGGGACGAACGACGAACGCCCCCTCCCCATTGTGTTTAACCTGGCCTGGCTGCGCCTGCCTGGCTGCGGCATCAAGTCTCAAGCCCTAAAAGCGCCGCTATGCCGCCATGCGCCGGGCCGGGCGGGGCGGGGCGCGAACCCGCTGTAGGCACCCCACTCGTTGTAAGACACGACCACGGCGATACCCCGTGCGCACGAGACAGCCCACTCGGCGGCCGTTAAAAGCCACTTGTGCGCGGAGTATCATCACGCTCGTTTCTTCTGCGTCTCCTCGTGCTCCTCCTCCCAGGTTGGCAACGGATGAACTGTTCGCGTTGAACATGATACACGACGCGCCGAGCGAGAGCGTCGCGTTCAAGTGGCCAACTGGTCATAACGAGGGCGTCGTCCGCGTCCTCTGGCGTCACAGCAGCGGTGGCGTTAGCGCTAGCGCGCAGCCATGGCGCGGCGTAGCGCCGCGTAGCGCGGTGAAAGGTGCGCCCAGCTGCACTAGACCATGCAGTATGCAGTAGCCGCGGGGCGGGGCGGGGCGGGGCGGGGCGGGGCGTCGGGCACACGCGAGCTAGGACTGCGACGCTGCGCTGGAGTCGCACCCCGCCCCGCCCCGCCCCGCCGCCACGGTCTCAGAGACTCGGAGTCCCGGCGAGTCACGCTTCATCGGCATCCCCTCCGCGGGGTCCTAGGGCCGCGCCGCCGCGCCGGTCCTGGGCTCTGCCGGCTCTGCAGGCTGCTGCCGCGGCGGGGTGCCTCGCCCGGCCGCGCCTCGCGGGACCTGTGCCAAGCGAACGGCGAACGTATAACGAAGCGGTAACAAGTTGGCCGGCAGGCGCGGCAGTATACGGCAGTGCGGCCCCGGCGAGGGCCCCGAGCCCCGCGCGGCGTGCAGCGGAGCAGCGGCAGCAGCGACCCCGCGGAGCCGCGGCCCCACGCCGAAGCCCCGGCCTGGGCCTGGTCCCGCCCCTGGACTCCCGTCCTGGTGCGCCCTTCAGCCGAGCATTCCGAAGAACCGTCTCGCTGCTGTCTCTCCTACCTCCACACTCCTCCCAAAAAAGCCCCTTGAGTGTGTGCGAGACAGAGCGACGAACCGACTCAGTTCGCAGAGGCTCTTTGGCGCCTTTGGCAGCGGTTCGCCGTCCTTGAGCCTCGCGCCTTCTGCCTCGCCGCCTCGCCGAGGACGAAGACGAAGACGCGGAGGGCTGGATGAGGGCGACCATTACACGGCCTGCCCCGCCTGCCCTGCGATCGCGGTTTGGCAGCCGCCCAGGAGCCGGGGCCAGGCCGCCCCGCCCCGCCCCGCCCCGCCCCGCCCTGCCCTGCCCCGGGGCTGGTTGACGCCGTGCCCCTCATTACCGCTCAATCGGCTCGGCATGGCCAGGCCAGGCATGGCATGGCGCCGTCCGTCGTGCGCGGCGCGGCCTGCCGCCATCGCCGTGCTATCGCCGCGCCTTTTCCTCCCACGCGTTTCCTCCTGCTTTTCCTCCCCCTTCCCTTGGCGTCGCGCTGAAATGGAAACAGCGCTGGGAATGACGCGTTGGTCGAGTCGTCCGCAGTGTGCCAGTGGACCGGTGGAGGCGGCCAAAACTCCAGGCGCGGTTTGAGCTTCGGAGTCGCTGAGTGGGACTCGGAACTGATCGTGTGACCCCACCAATCGATTGCTCTCCGAACGAGGAATCCATTGGTGGGGCCACACGTTCGGTTCGAGTCCTGTTTAGCGACTCTGGAGTTCAAAACGCGTCTGGAGTTTCGGCCGCCTCCACCAGCCTTGTGACCCACTGTGCACCATCGTCCCAGTTGTGTGGAGCGGGAGACAGACGTGCTCCAGGAAAAGAAGGAAATGCTGATCTGGCGGAACGTGGAAGTGGAACACGCTCGCGACGCCCGGCTTGGCCGTCAGTCGAGTAGACAGCAGCTTGGGCTAACAGTGGTGCCTCGTGCCTCGTGGACCAGGAACTGCCCGGAACCAGCCACCACGCACCTAATAGCAGTAGTTGTACCCCTGCGCTACAACAACAGCATCTCGACTCGAAGCAAGTCGGGTCGTTATTTCGGACCGCTGCTTCGCGCTGGCTGCGAGCAAAGAATACCGCGTCGTAAATATTGCCTCCCCGTCGGGCGCCGCGGCGGCGGTGACTCTTGTCGATGTCTCGATAGCGATAGCGTTCGATATCTCGCGATGTCGCCGGGTGTGACGGCCACCGCCTTACCCGGAGCTTGCTGCCGCTGTACTCGATGGGGGCAGCGATGAGCGCGCCGTTATCTTATCAGCGACTCGTGCCGCGCCCTGCCGCGCGGCCCGGCGCCTTAGGCAGGTGGGCCGGCCGCGGCGGACCGCGGGGCACGGGTTCGAGTACGCGCGAGGCGATCTCTTTTTTCCTCTCCCTTTTTCTCTTCTTCTCTTCTTCTCTTTCCCGCCCCCTTTCTTTGTGACGTGATCGATGAGGGGCCACGAGGTGTCGCATTGCGCTCCGGCATGCCAGACTGCCAGACCTTGCAAGCACTGCAGGCCCACTCCGAACCAACAGTGCTGCGGGGCTCTGTCTCTGTCGCACTCGAGGGGCGGGCCCGGCGGGCCGCGGGGGTGCGAGAGAGAGAAAGCCCTGTTCGGAACCTGCTGCCGCCCTGGCACGCCGGATTCCGCGCGTGCCGGAGGGCCCCGCCGACCGACAGTACCCATGAGGCGAGAGAGCCCCGAGCGATGCGAGGGCCCCTCCGCCTGTGCGGAATCATCCTGCTGGCCGCCCGAAGCCCCGCCCGGGGCCCCGGCCCCCCGATGGCCCCCCGAAGGCCCCCCGATGGCCCCCCGAAGGCCCCCCGCCCGCAGTCCGGCCGGGCCCCAAACCGGGCAGCTCATGAGTGCGAATCGTGCGGCTATTCGTGTGCCGTTGCGCAGTATAGTACATTACATGGGCGGAGAAAGACTTCTTTTCTCGGTGGCGTTTCGACTATGCAAGTGCGGGTACTGACGCGGTGCTCTAGAAAATGTGGTGGAAATGAGGGGGGGGGGCGTCCGGTCGCACGGTCAAGGCGCCGGGCTCCCGAAGCACTCCGCCATCGGCCCTTGGCCATCGGCCCCGCGAACCGCGAATGGTGAAGACGGCGGTGCCTGACTGTGTCGCCTCCTCTGTTCCAGTTCCCACGGACACGTTCTTCTCCAGCGCCTTCTCCTTCGGGGCGGCCCCGCTGGGGTCCCCGCTGGGCTCGCCGCTCGCGTCCCCCGTGTCGCCGCCCTGCGCCCCTCTGGGGGCGGCCAGCCTGGGGGCGGCCACGCTGAGCCACCTCGGGGCGCCGCCCCCGCCGCCCCCGGTGCCGCCGGTGTACCAGCAGCAGGCGGGCCCCTTCATCGACAACAGCGGGGGCGGTCTCGGAGTCCTCGGCCCGCTGCGCGCGCTGGGGACCGCATGGGACCGGACCGCCGCGCTGCCCTCGCCGCTCGCCGTCAACGTCAAGCTGGACAGCGGCGTGGCCAGGGCCACCTCGAGTGAGTGCAGACCCGGCGCGGCGGCAGTGGCAGTGGCGCGCCCGGGTTACTTTGTCCTGGCTACCGCGTTCGAACCGTGCCGTTTCGCTGTCTCTCTCGCACTCCCTACGGGCCCTACGGGACGCCCCACGAGTGCGAAAGAGACGGAGCGATGAAAGCACCGTCCGGAATCGGCCTGCTGACGGGAAATTAATGACCCTAGCGCGTTGCAAGTTTTCACTCTCCCCCGCCGCCACCCGCCACTTTGGGGCAATGGAACGTCAGCCGCGCGCTGGGGCTTTGGCGGAGCGGGGATTCGAACCAGCAGCCCTGGATCTGCCTGACGGTGTGGTGTTTGTGCCCCACGCAGGCCCCGCCAGAGGCACGCCGTTGCAGTCGCCGCAGCCGTCGGGGCTGCTGTCCCCGGGCAGTGCGGCCACCGCCTCCAGCGCCTCCAGCGCCTCCAGCGCCTCCAGCGACGCCTGCAGCCGGTCCACGCCGCGCCCGCTGGAGCAGGCCAACCAGGCCGGCCAGGCCGGGCACGCTGAGCGGGCCTGCCAGGTGGCCGAAGTGACGACCAGCGGCGAGCAGGCCGTGTCCTCCACCACCAGCGCGGGTCAGTACCAAGCACCATCACTCTGAAGCTTTCTAGGGGTCCAGGAACGGCGAGTTCGCTTGTCTCTTCGCGGGAAGGTGTTATCTCGAGACCTTTGGACGAGTCTGAGAGTTTGTGTTGAACTGGCGGACTGGCGTGCCCACACGGGTTGGGGTTCAGCCAGCTCGGCCTCGCGGATCGGGGCTCCTCCATAAGTGACGTCACTGCGGGCCGGGCCCCCAGGGCCCCCGCGGGTAAGCCCCCAAAACAGCTCCGCGCCTCGCCTCGCCGTTTACTACTATTGTGCCTCGTAAAAGCTCATGCGCTCCCATCTGCGTCTGTTTGGCCATGGTTTGACGGATCGGCGCGGCGCCAGGTGCCGGCGGAGGCCATGAACGGTCCGTTGACCAAAACCACTGCCGGTTCAGAAGAAGTCGAATCGTCCGCAGGACAAGAGGACGGGGTTTCGAGCGGTCCCCGTTTCTACTCAAGTTAAAATTGGTTCTCACTGGGCCAGCGCGCTTCAAATCCAAAACGAAAACGAACGAAAACGGCAAACATTTGCGTTGCGCCATATGTCCCACGCGTCGGTAATCGCGTGGATGTGCGCGCCGCCAAATTTGCTCACACTGTTAGCCTCTCTCTCTCGCACACATGCACGCCCACGCCTTCCCCCTCCCCTCCCCACCCCCTGGCCTGGAGAAGGGCGCGCGAGGGGGCGGCACGCAGGCTCTGCCCGCCGCAGCGGACTCATTCCGAGAGTCGTTTCGTCGCGCTGTCTCTCTCGCACCTATACGGGACGCTCCGTGAGTGCGAGAGGGACAGAGCGACGTAGACGACTCTCGGAATCAGTCTGCAGGCCGCGCTTCCCACGGGATCCCTTGAGGGAAGAGCGGGAAGCGGGAAGCACGTGTAGCGCAGCGCCCAGCACCGCGCGCCCATCAACCAGTGTGTCGGATCGGGCCGGCCAAATCGATGGCCCGCGCGCCATTGGGTCAGTGTGTGTGTGTGTCGTGTATCAAAGAGAAGAGTGAGTGTGTGTGTGCGTGGCTTGGGCAGGCTTGGGTTGCCTGCCTTCCTTGCGCATCGATTTCCTTGGGCTTCAATCCAGATAGGGCCACGTCGTCCGCGAGTGGCGGCCGGCGTCGCGTCCGGCATCCATAGGTGTCGACGGCGTCCTGGACTGTGCCAGTGTGTTATTCGGGCTGGCGTGGCGTGGCGTGGCGTGGCGGCGCTGCCGGCCGGACCATCGCCACGGTAACCGCGTGGGCCAACAAGCGTACTGTTCACTGCGCCACGCCGCGACGCCGCGACGCCGCCACGCCACTGTAGCCGTGCCGCCGTGCCCCGGCGCGCGCGGCCGCCGCATTGGCCCACGTCGTCGTCCTTCTTGGCCGAGTCACCGAGGCATTAGGACTCATTACGCCCCGCCGGCCCGGTGGAGGCCGTGCAGGCCGTGTCTCTGATGGGCCCCGCGGCGGCGGCCTGGGTCTCGGCCCTGAGCCCTGGGCCCTGGGACAGCGACGGCGATCCATAAAAGAAGCGGCTTTATGGTGATACCGTGACCCAGTCCGCGCGTCCTGCGCGTCCTGCGCGTCCACGCCGACATGCGAGGCGAGGTGGGGCGGGGCGGGGCGGTCAGGCGCGGACCCTCCTCCAACATGAATGCAGTGGTGGCTTTGAAGAGGGCCACCGCCTCCTCCCTCTCTCTCCCTCTCTCCCCCTTCCTTCCTCCCTCTCTCTCTCTCTCTCTCTCTCTCTCTCTCTCTCTCTCTCTCTCTCTCTCTCTCTCTCTCTCTCTCTCCCCCCACTGGGCCCCGGGTTGGCTCGGTGCGAATATTCCTCCGGCACCCTAAGCAAACTGTGTCACACTTGGCCTTCTTGTGCAAGCATGCAAGCGCGGAGACTAGACTAAAAGGGGAGCACTAATTTGGTCCCCGCAGGCTCCGAACAAGAAAGGACGAGGCGAGGAACGGAGTCCTGCTAAAGCCAAGTGTGATGAGCAAGCAGACGCGGGTGCGTGCTCGTCTCCCTCGAGGAGAATTGAATTAACCGACTCTTTGTCAGAGCAGTTTTCCCCCGCGTGATGACCGGTGAGTGAAACTCGGTTTAACTCATCCACGCTAGAGCGCTGTGTGTTTGTGCGCGTTGTGCGCTTGAGCTCTGTTCACCTACAGCTGGGTCGGCGGCCTATCTATCTAGGCCACATGTCGTGTATTGGTGTTACGTGCCGGACACGTCATATTTTATATTCATGATATTGTCGCCAGCTGGTTGCCTGGCCTGGGCCGGGCCGGGCCGCGCTGATGTGGCGTGGCAGCAGGGCAGGCAGTGTGCCGTGCGGTGCGCCGCACAGTGGGCCACAAACCGGTGGAGGCGGCCAAAATTCCGGACGCATGTTGAGCTCCAGAAGCGCTGAATGGGACTCAAACCGAGCGTGTGACTCCACCAATGGATTCCTCATTCGGAGAGCAATCCATTGGTGGGGTCACACGTTCGATTCGAGTCTCATTTAGCGACTCTGGAGCTCAAAACGCGTCTAGAATTTTGGCCGCCTGCGCCGGTTGCTGGCCCACTGTGCGCCGTGCGCCGCTCGCCCGACCCGGGTCGCCCAGGTGTTGGCGGCTGCGTGACGTCAAGTTCGGCCGCCTGTATTCCGCTCTACGTCGGCTGGGTTAATTTCTTGCAAACGCCGGGAGACGGGTGCAGGAGTCGACTGACACTTTTGGCGCCATGCCTCGACAGTCTTCCTTTTTTTGTGACCGAGGAGAGAGGATCGGGGAAATTGGTTTCACCGAACGTGAATGTGACGCTCGACGCTCTCTGACCTTTGCGCCTGTTGAGCTGGAAAACGCGGCGCGCGTCACTCTGCAGTGGCCGCCACGCCCCGGCCCGGCCCGCCCCGGCCCGCCACGCCCCGCCACGCCACGCCGGTCAAAGAATCTTACCCACAACGATCGGAGAGAATCGGATTGCGTCCGGAAATGCCGCCACAGAGTGTCTCCGAAACGACCTGGCCTCGCCTCGTCGCCCCGTCACCACGCCGCCGTCCGGACGCGCTTTAGGCCAAGACCCCTGTGGGGTGGGCCGCCCCGCCACGCACGCGTCCACAGCGTGGTGCCTACCCCCGGGCCGTCAGGCGCCCGTCGTCGCCGTCGTGTCGCTCCGCCGCATCGCCGCCAGCAGGGCGCCGGGCCGCCGGGCCGGCGTGCAGCAGTGGCCGGCCGGCCAGTGCGCGCCGCGCGGGGAGCAGCTCAGCTACAGCAAACCCATCCCGAGAGTCGTTTTGGCCGTTCTGTCCCTCTCGCACTCAAGAGGAGCGAGAGAGACGGAGCGTCCGCAACGCCCCTCGGAATCAGCCTGCAGGCTGCAGCCCGGCCGTTGCGTCACCGCGGCGCGCCCCACGCTGCACGTCGAGGCGCGAGGAGTGGAGGAGCGACGCGGTATGAGAAATAACGCATCGCGACGGGCGGACGAGTCCGGCCAGGAAGCGAACCATGCCAGCGCGCCGGGTTCATTTCTCATACCGGCGGCAGTCGAGCCTCGTGCATTCGGCCGCCTCGCTGTGACGTGACGTCCCCGTTGCCCCCGCCCCGGTCTCCGGTTCCCCGGTTCGCCGGTTCGCCGCCACGGCTGTCCGATTGTTGGAAGACCAGCGCTTCGGCGGTCCTAGAAGTCCCAGAAGCGGAGTGTTGTCTTCCTGCGCCCGGTTCCCGGTTCCTTGTTTTCGCACACGCAGCTCGGCAGCGCGGCGCGCCGCTTTGAAAGCGAACGAGGCGAAGCGAGTGGAGTCGTGACCCGGCGTCGGCCGGCCGCTTGTTTTCCTCCGAGCATGCCGTCCACGCCGTCGCCGTCCAGGTCGTTTACGGGGTTTCGGCTTACAGCTCGCCGACTGCGGCACTGCCGCTGCCAGGACGGCCTGGACGGCCGGCCGGTGCGGTGGCCGGTGGGACGGACACGGACGGGACGGTGGGACTCAAGGTCAAGCGTGGCAGCGGCAGCGCGGCCCCCTCCCGGTCCCGGACCCCGGCCTGCCCCGGCCCCGGCCCCGGACCTCCCGGCCGAGCCGACCCAACTGGAACTGCACTTTGGCATTTGAATCCGGACGGCGCTGCTGCGCTGCTGAGGCCAGTGCTGGGGCGCTGGGGCCCTCGCGAGGGAATGGCATGGCGGCGCAGGCGGCGCGCGCAGGCGGCGCAGGCAGCGCATGCTCCAGGCTCAAGCCCTGGCCGGCGCGGCGCGCGGTGCGTCTGGACGAGTGGACGCCCGGCCCGGCCCGGCAGCGACGGCAGTGCAGCGGGGGGCAGGGGGCAGCGCAGAGCGCAGCGCCGGTGGGCTTGGAAGGGGGCGGGCCGCGGGGGGCGGGCCGCGGGGGCCGCAGGCAGGCAGTGCATGCAGGATGGGCGGGTCTTCAGGCGGAGCCTGCCCCCACCAGCCCCCACCGGCCCCCACCAGCCCCACCATGCCCGCCACACAGTGCCCCGCGACAGCCGCGCTCACGGACCTCTCTCTCTCTTTCTTTCGCACACACTCACACTCTTTCTCTCTGCTTGCGCTGGCTTGCGCCCCCACCGCGCAGGCCTCCGTTCCCCGTGCAGGCCCCCCAATCGTGTAGAGCGCCCCTGCACTTTACGCCTGGGAGCAAGCAGCAAGTCCTGCTCGACGGTAACGCGGAGCTGCACCGCGCCGAAAAGAACCACGACCCGACTGGAACTGTGATCCTCTGGGGCGCGGTTGGGCCCTCCAGCTCCACCACGCTGCCCGCTGCCCCTGGTGTCCGCTTCTCGGGCGGCCTCGCCCGCGCCGCGTAGACCGCCTGGCTACGCCTGGCAGGCAGGCAGACTGCAGGGAGTGGCGGCAGGGCAGTTTGCTGCAGCCACACGCTTGCTATTCAACAAGTGCTCCGTGAGCCTTCAACATGCACGTCATACAGTGGTCTTGGTATAAATTTTGCCGATTCAGGCGTACCCGAGGGCGTACCCGAGGGCGTACCTGAGGGCGTACCCGAGGGCGTACCCGAGGGCGTACGTGTTGGCCCGCTCGGTAGGCTAATTGCAGAGGCCAGGCGATAGCAAGTGATATGCGTCGCCACTTTGTTGACGCACCTGCGGCATGGCCTGCGGTGTGTAGTGTAGTGACTAGTCCTTCTGGCCTAGCTGCCTGCTGGCGTCACTGACGTAACTGACGTAGACGTTGACGGTGTTGCTGGTGTTGCAGGCGGCGTGTGCGCGCTCCCCGGCCTGGCCGGCCAGGCCTGCCAGGCCACGGACAACAGCGGCCAGGCGTACAGCATGCTGCGCGACCCCGCGTCGCAGTTCGTGCTCCTGACGGCGCCGGGACTGAACATCGGTGAGGCTTCCCATCATCGCGTAGAAGCGACTCCGCAGTCCGCACTCGAACAAACGCTCGGCTTAACAGGGACCGGAGCCCTGGCTTTGCGTTTGTCTTTCTCTGTCGCTCTCGCTGTCTTGACGGTCTTGACTGACGTTGCGTCCCGCTTCTCCGCCCGCAGGCGACACCATGCCGCGGCCCATGCTGTGGTCGGGCCTGGCGCCGCCGCTGCTGCTGCCGCCCATGCCGCAGATGCAGCACATGCAGCACATGCAGCGAGGCATGCTGCTGGACCCCATGATGACGTCCTCGGCCGTCTCGGGCGCCGGCTCCATCGAGGCCTCCATGACCATCTGCCAGGCACTGCACACGTCGCGCACCGTCAGCGGCGTGGGCCTGGGGATGACGGCGCACTCGCAGATGCAGACGCAGATGCAGACGCAGATGCACACCCACCACCACTCGATGAGCGCCGTGTCCAACGTGGTGGCCCTGCCGGCCCTGCCGGCCCTGCCCGTGCCTCCCCTGCCCTCCGTCGCCGTGTCCCTGGCGCCGACGCCGACGCCGACGTCCACGCCGTCGTCCTGCCCGCCGCTCCTCACCGTGGCCTCCATGTGCCACAGCTCGGTGGAGTGCAACTCCACGCCCTGGCCCGTCGTGCCCCTGCCCCAACAAGGTGCCCACTCCCCGCCCCCTGCCCCTGCCCCGCCACTTGGCCTTAATGAATTTGTCTACATAAGTTGTTTAACAACATTGGGCTAACTATTTTTTATTTTTTTTATTTTTAGTACCTGAAGAGATACATGAGGCCATTCCACCTAAATGCATATCAGATGGGGAGTCTGCTGTCATTACCCAAGTGGCTGATCCATCTAAACAGTGTTCTGCGAGTGTTCAAACTCAAATGGATAGTGACGTAAGCACAAATGTAGGTAGCACTATACCATAGCCACACTTTGTCAAGTTGTCCACGAATTTTAAGTTGCATTTCGCTTTTTTTTCCCTTTTTCAGGATTTCTCACCGGAACACTATGGGAGCCCAGCTTCTGATAATCAAAAAGAAACGGAAAGCAGCTGTGATGGACAAGACAATGACTGTTTTACAGAGTCCTCACCCCTTGCTTCAGAGGGCAAGAGGGAAGAATCGATCACTGCAGATCCAGCTCCCCTCCTGGCTGAGGCAGATTCCATTGGCGAGCAGGAGCAGTGGACAAGAAGTCCTGTGCCTCAAATATCAAGTAGTAATGTGGAATGCCAAGGAAATATTGAGGAGTCAACAACTGTACCTGATAAACCAAATCAACTAGATATAAGTGGACTCGAGTTACTGTATAAAAGCATTGAACATATGGAAAGCTTAGAGATGAAAAAGTCTCAAGAGAAAGAAGTAGCTGTCAAAATTGAGCCTCTGGCAGTTGCTGAACAGCCAGAGTTGCGAGGTTTGGGCCTTCTTTGTGCCCTAGCTGAGCAGAGAATACAAGAGGAAATAAATAGTGAATCCAAACCATTCAAACAGGAAGAAATGCGATCAGTAAATATTCCTAAATCAAGTACTGATGTTAACCGTAATTATAAGTCTCCGCAATCGGAGCAAGATGTTCGACGTTACCTCGCCACTCGCACAGAATCAGCCAACACAAATGTAACGGCTGGTGGTTTCAAAATGACACTTTTCACTGATCCACTGGAAATAAAGATGCGCAGTCGCTTGGCGGAATTACAACGCATGTACAGAAATACTCAAAGAGAGCTTTCCCGCCTTACTCCCAAAAGGCATGGTACTGAAGGTATTAACTCTTTCTTGTTCAAAAACTCTTACACTTTGCTCTAAATATCTTGTTTTGTTTTTTTTTATATTTTGCTAAAATTCTTTGTTTATATTTCAAGCAGAAAGTAGCGGTGGAAACCATGTTGGACATTCACATTCAAGACGCACACCAGCAAAAAGTAGTCAGACACGCAAAAAGAAGGCACCATCCAGAAAGAGGACTCCTCTTAAACCTGAAGTTCTCAGGTATGATCAGTTTTGAAATCATTTTGTTTGATCCCAAGCTGCTGTTAAAATATTTGATAAATAATGATATTTTCTTTGCAGTGACCCACTGCCGCCCATTTTGGAGAGGGTAACAGATGTTGCGGAAGCCCCTCTGCCCAAACTAAAATGGTCTCGCCTTGATGCACCTCCTACCCTCACTCCGCACAAACCTCCAGAAGATCTGGCTAACAGTCATCCAACATCTTTTAAGTTAAACCTTGTCAAGTTACCTGCCACCAAGGATCAAAAGAGGCGCTGGAGTGTCGATACCCCATCTACTCGAGTGTCAACTGAAACTCAACATGCTGGTAATTAAATCTAGACATGCTATGGTTAAAACATTTATGTGCTGATGTGTATCTTTATCTGTGTGGCTTAATTATTTTATCTTATTATTCCCGTAGATGATGAAGATTCTGACGGATTGTGGTCGGATTTTGTTTCTAAATCACCCGAGGTGGGCTACAGACTTTGTGTGACTTCTTTCTTTCCATGTATTATCATCTATGATGTTTTATTCATTCGAATTTTTCTGTTTCCTTTCTAGATTTTGAATGGCAATCGTAAAAGTAAGCCTTTGAGTGAGATTTCGTCCTTGCACTCATCTTCAAAGCGGCGTAAAGTAGGAAGACCAAAGAGGCATTTGGAAAACACAGGAAATGGACATTATTCTACAGAAACCATTGTGCCAAAGCAGCCCCGAAACAAGGCCAACCTTGTCAGTTTTCTCTTGGCGAGTAAGTCAGCCGGTGCACCAGGCAAATTCCCAAGCACTGAGCACCATTCAAAGGAAAACTCAAAACTTAGTTCTGTGGACTCCAGTCCGGAACATCGACCAAAGATTCGTCCTAAGCTTAAAGCAGAAGTTAAGGTAAGTTTATGTTTTGATCTTTCAAATTTTCTTATCAATTGTAAGCCAAACTGTATTGTTATTAATGGTTGTATTTAATTTTAATATTGTCAGATCAAAGAAACATGGGAAGATGAAGATATATTGGACTGGTCCACACCAAAACCTCAGTTGCCTTCTCATCCACTTCGGCCTTTGGATCTGGTCTTTGAATGTATGGAGGAAATCAGTGCAAATGGGCGGGAAAAGAACTCTAGCCTTAAGCGCAGCAGTGTTGATGATGACATTGATTGGTTACCAAAAAGGCCTAAGACTCCAGTCCTTTCACCAAAACCTGTAATTGTCCCTAATTTCACCCAGCACAAACATCCTGAAAAGACTGTGCCTGTAGCCAAGGTCAATAAAAAGCCAGTTGTGCCTCCAAGAGAAAGAAGACAGTCAACAGAAAAGCACCTCAAGAAACCAGTTTGCTCTTCAGTGCATGAAGAGTCCATGCCACCCAAAGTTTCAAGTGAGTTCTATTTTTAATTTGGAAGGAGAACTTAATGACCAACTCAAAATAATAATCCTTACTTAAAAATTTTTGTTTCCTTTCTCACTTGTAGATAACCCTGAGAGTTGTGTTTTGACTGCTGAAATATTGGAAACTGCTGATCTGCCTGTTAGAACGTTGACAGCTCAAGGTGGATTGTTTTATGCTGGGATGCTCAATGCAGTCATGCCCCCTGATCTGTACAGCATTGTTCTCCATGGAGAAAGGGCATCCAGGCCAAATATATATTCACGAGAAGAGATACTGCAAGATACAGTAAGTTTTCTAGTGCCTTCACTTATGGGTTGCGTTTTCACATGTGGTTTTTGTTGTTCTTTAACATTTATTTATTTGTTTCTAGATTCTTGAAGTACGACCTACAAATGTTGAATCTTTATCTGTGGGCACTCGTTTGTGTGCATACTGGTCTCAACAAACCAAATGCCTATACCCTGGTGTTGTTGGCTCCCCTCTAACACCCGATCCTACTTTAGATGGTGATTTTGTCACTGTTGAGTTTGATGATGGGGATTCTGGTCAAATCAGAATTCAAGATGTACGCTTGCTTCCTCCAGACTACCCATTTGTTGGTTAGTGAAAGATATAAGCCCAAAATTTATTGAAATCTATGTGCATTCTAGTATTGTTTTTTGTTTTTGTTTTATACCATTAATTATATTGTTCTTACAGAATTTGATCCAAACCCATTACTGTCTCTTACCAAGAGGAGGCGTAGGAATTCTGAGAAGAGTGTTGAGTCGAAAGACAGACGAGTCAGTGCTGACAGCACAGCTTCATCTAATGTTTCTGTGTCAGAAACCTGTAAGGATGACAGCAAGACTGAATTAAGTCAAGCAGAGGTGAGAACTGGTTGTTTAATTTTTTTTCACATGTGGCTAAGACTACAAACTTAGGTGCAAGTTATGGAAGTCATGCAGAAAAGAAACCGAAAGTCTTACTCATATCCTTAATTTAATCTAATTTAATTTAACTTTTTCCTAATGCAGAGCTCTACATGTTGCAAAGAGAGGGGTTGCGTGATTGATTGATTTAATCTAATGTGTGGCTATTTCTTACAGATTACTGAGAATGAAAGCAAGCCCATGAAGAAGAAACGAAAGGAAAAACTGAAGAAATGGATGTCAGAAAGAGCAACAGAATCGTCTTCAGATTCAAGGAAGCATAAACACAAGCACAAGCACAAACATAAGCACAGGCATCGACACTCATCATCAGGCAGTAGCTCAGATTCTCTCTTGAAAACAGATCTGGAGGGTTCAGTTTCAGATGAATTAAGGCCTATCATCAAAGATTCATTAAGCCCTCAATCACTGGTGGAAGAAATCAGCCCTGTTAAAGAAAATGTCAAAGATTCAGGGGAAAGTATGAAAGGAGAAGAAGATGAAAAAAATGAAGAGGATGAAAGAGAGGAGGAGGAGGATGAAAAAGAAGAGGAGGATGTAAAAGAAGAAGAGGATGTAAAAGAAGAAGAGAATGTAAAAGAAGAAGAGGAGGTAGAAGCAGAAGAGCCCAAAAGTGATTTAGTAAAAGTCACTGCTAAGGAGACTGAAGCACCTAAGCTTATCAAAAGTGAGGATGAATTAACCAGTTTTGATGATGACTCAATTCGAGGAAAAAAGCCAAAGGTATTTAAGATGATAAAATTTTTGTAATCTTTCTCTTTTATCCAAACAAAATAACTATTATTTTCAAATTTTTATTTAGAAAAAGCATGAGCGGCAAAATTCTACAGAAACAAGTAAGATGGCTGCTTTTCTGCCACCTCGCAAGCTATGGAGTTGGTCAGGTAAAGGGTACAAGCGACAAGGTGCCAAAGGCAGAAAAAAGGAGTTCTTCAAAAGCATTCAACGAGACAAAGAGCAAATCAATGTAAGCCTGAGTGAGCTATGAGGAGGAACTTAACCCATTTTGTTCTAATTTTTTCTTAATTTTAACATTGTTTCTTCTTCTATAGGTTGGTGATTGTGCTGTGTTTTTATCAACCAACAGCCCTGACAGGCCCTATATTGGACGCATTGAATCATTGTGGGAAACCTACAATGGAATGATGGTTGTGCGTGTCAAATGGTTTTATCATCCCGAGGAAACAGAAGGTTGCCCATCATTAAAGCATTCGGTATGTTTTTTCATTGGACAATCTGCTTTACAATGTGCATGATCACTTTGTAACCCCCAATGCTTCACTTTCCAGGGTGGCCTCTTTCAGTCTGATCATGCAGATGATAATGACGTCCAAACAATTTCTCATCGTTGTGAAGTACTCTCTCTCTGTGATTATGAGAAAAAACTGAATCGACATTCTGCTCATCTACATGGTGTATACTACCAAGCAGGTGTTTATGATCCCAAAAATTTACAAATTAAATTGGAGAAGGGAGTTGCTGGATGACTGTACATTAAATCTCAAATCCAGTTCATACTGTGGGAACTCTTCGGCCTTAAGGTGGAACCTTGGCCACAAAGACTGTGATACTGGCAAAACTTAATTGATGTTGCTTTACTGTTGTTTTTTTTTGGTTTCTTGTTTTTCATGTCAGTTTAACACTGGCTGTGCTTTTATCCTTAATATAGCTGTGTACTTTAAGTCTAATGCACACCGTACTATGATTTTAATTAAGTCACATAGGGAATAAGATTCCCTTAATATTTATTTTAAAAAAGGGTGATTTTATTAAGTCGTGGTGATTGTCTTATACAGCAGGATCCCATTTTGGTTTTAATTTTATTACCTTAACACATTTTGTGTTAAAATTTGAACTAGTATCCTGGTAGCGCGTCTGTTTCAACACAGTTACATTTTACAAAACCTATCTGTAAGGAACTGTTGCTTCTAGCATTGTCATATAAGAATTGTATGAAATTTTTTAACTTGCAATTAGCTTGACATTACATATTTGGACTATGCTTTATTGTACATAGCTTTACATCTAGATATGTCTACTTTTGCCTGTGCAATTTGCCCCCATCCAAACTTGAGTACTGTGTCGTGATCCTTACTTAAATTACATTATTCAAGAAAAACTTTGGTAGATTTTTAGATACACATATCCTTATTGTCTTATGTGTAGTAAAGACCAGGTGGTACAATTACTTGTGGTGACATAGGAAGTAATTAATTTACTAATAAATTGATTAATTACTGAAAAATGAAAAAAAAAGCTTTTAATTTGATGGTAGGCTTTGCATTTGCCTAAGGATTTTAAAAACATGATAAACTTCTTCTTTTCCATTAAAAAAGCTTGTGGATTTTGTCATTTGTATATTGTATCATGCATATAGGCACACAGTATACTATAAATGTGATTGTGTTTCAATGTCACTTTTGTAGACAGTATCAGTTATGATGTATTGTATAAAGCATCTGCGTCTATATACCTAACTGTCGAGTGGTTTGACTTCGCCATTCAGTTGGTGGTCTGAAATTGGCCTTTGATTATCATTTGTGTAAGGTTTTGCACATCCTGCTGTAATGGCCAGAAAACTTTGATAATAATGCATGTGATGCCAGATTTCTTGTTGTGTATGACCTGTGCTATTTTTTTTCTCTCTTGATGCTTTTGTGCCATATAGGTTAACAGAAAAATTTGAATCCGCTGTCCTTTAAAACAACTTATTTATATTAATAATGCCGTTATGGCCAGTTCATGGATGACCGAGATATAATTTTAATTTGTAGAAAAACAAAGACTTAATGCACTGACACACATTAGATGTGCAACTTTTTTTTTAACTCATAGCAGTTGTATTTGCTGCTGAGTGCATATCAGTGCCATTCCTACATGAGCTTATGTTTCATCTTCTCTAGGTTGAGTGACACTTTTTGACTGATACTTATTTTGTCATGAGTGCATGGCAACTGTTGGTTTAGAGTACTAATTGGCTGTTGAAATCGAAATATTTTTAATAATCTGAAGTAGAATTTTACTAATATTTGTTAACTGTTAACCAAGCACAGGGCATACACACCATATTTCTCTGTGGTAGCATTGTTGCACCATACCATATGGTACTTGTTGTATAGAGTTTTGGAAGGAAAGAAAAAATGGAGTGAGGAAGTGCAGGTGTGCTCCATACATAGTTTGTTATCTTTGCACATACAGAATAGGTGAGGAAATGTTTAGAATTACTTACATATATTCATGTATGAAATCTTTATAATAACTTATAAATAACTGTATAACTGTATACAATTCAAATCTTGTGATACATAGTTTAGTGATACTGCAATCATTTTTTTTCCTGTTTATTTTGGATACATAGATGTGTACAGACAACCATTTAGTGATAATGTATTATTTCGTTTGTAAATGTTTTAGGTATAATGCTGTCAAGGGGCCTCAGTCATTACTAGTATTTACCAACTCACTTGGTTATGGAGTCAGGAGTTAATTGCAAAGGGGATTTTAGGAAGTTTTTTGTTTTTGTTTTCCTAAACTTTTATTTCAAAGATAGGGCCTTATACCTACTTAAACCTGTACCATGTTCATCTGACTGAGGTACTTGGTGTTGTGAGGTTTATCATTGGAAAAATCTGACAGTACTTATTTGGCCTCAAGAGTAAAGAATCTTTCTTTTATGCACAGCTTAGTCATATTTATCCTGACAGCGGATGTTACTTGCTGTACCATGCCCCTGTGAAACATTATATCGTTTGATTAAAGTTTTAATTCATTTTTTATTTTTATGTCTTCTTCAGATATTTTAAAGTTTTACAAACATTGTATCTCTCACTGATATGGTTACTGTGACTTGCGATGTCACATGCGTGATCTATCAATAGCAATCAGTAGCAGCCAAGTTGTGAGGTAGTAAGTTCAAATAATACTTGTTTGTGTGGACAATCTTATTAATATCTATTTTCAAATCACCCTTGATTGCCTCTCAATCAAGTTTATAAGGACAAAATAGATTTTATGGGAACGCATTAGTTAGATCTTCTAGTTTGGTGAGCTTCAACATTGGTTAATCACATCCTTCCCTTCTTTGTTATGCAAACTGAACTTTTTGTTTCCTTTCCATTTTCTGCAGTGTTTTCTCAATTTTGTCAATCTTTGATGCTTTCTATATTCCCTGCATTTACAAGCCTATTTTGTCATATTGTAGACAGCTCCTTGGAGTAAAATCATTTTACTTTCTGGAAGAAGAATTAATGTGCTTTGAGAGAAGGGTTGCAATGTGCAATGGTGCTATAAAACAAAAAGAGATTGTCTTCAAGAAAATTAATTGTTTTAATTCTGTCAATTTTTCTCTGAAATGAAGTAAATGTGACATTATAAAGTTTAATTATACCACAGCTGATTTGACTGATTCAATAATTTGTATCACACAATTGTTTTGGAAGTCTGAGACTTGTGGTCTTGCTAAAAAGACAGTCTTCAAACCCCCCCAAAAAGGAAAAAAGCTATTTATGATCAGGGTTCTTTGTAAGTGGTGAAGTGCAGAGCTGTCATCAGATTGAAGTTTCTCTACAGTAATTACTTGTAAGCAACATCTTTCTGAACAGAGAAAATTCCTCATTAAAAATACAACTACAATTTGTTGTTTTCTCTGCTTATTGTTTCTCGATGGTTGTTTTCTCCAAACTTTCCTTTTTATGGCAAGTTATTTTAGAAAATCAATAAAAGATCACTATAGAATATGAGTTTTCTTCATTCAGTTGCCCACACAAGAAGGGAGTTGCACGATCACGTGTGTTTGATATGCTTGCTCCACTCTAAGATTGATCGCACTACTCAGTATCACCAGGGCTCCAAGTATCACGGACAGGGTAAAGGCGTCGGTCGGAATTAAATGACACTGGTCAATCAATCAATCAATCACGCAACCCCTCTCTTTGCAACATGTAGAGCTCTTGTCGAGCCCAAATTCGAGTATGCTGCGCTGGAGCATTCTCTCGTGGCTCCTGACACTCTTTCAGTAGCCATTTCGGCCCATAACACTCTTTCTGGCGAAAAACTGGAAGTATTTGAGCATGCGTCAGAGCGGTAGACAAGCCTTCGTCCACAGCCTCTTCACCGCACCAGAGCTCAACTAGCGTCGCGGGGAAGGCCATTTTCGCACCAAATTAAGTGTTAAAGACCATAAGGCACCGGGCATCTGTTCCTTAGAACCATAGCAAGAGGTCAACCACTTTTGCCAAAATGCTTGCACCATTGAAATGCGTTTGGAGGACATGTTTTGAGGCCGCTCTGCCCTGGCCAAAACTTCGGGAGTGCATTGCCCCGGTGCCCCCTGGGTATTCCCCACGGCGTCTCCGTTGTTGCTATGGTTCAGACATACCCTGTTTCATTGGCCCCAGCCCTACAAATACGTAGTTTCAAGGTTGCATGACCATTCTTGAAATGCAGAAGGAAAAGTGTAAGGAAAACAATATGACTCAGATTTGGTATATTGGCTCTAATTATTACTTTGAGACCACAACGTTATAAAACACACTTATTTTGAAAATGTTAATTTTGATAATTGGACTTTAAAAGCCATGTACAACAGATTAAAATTTTTCCGATACCATTGGAAGTTGTAAGATACATGCAACCTCCAGTTTTTGTCTAGAAAATTCTTATAATATTCTGACATTTCTTCAGCGCTTAGACTTTTGTTATCTGAGTCTGTTGATGACTGCAACTTCTTGTGACGAAATTCATTGCTCTCCTGAAAAGGCATGAATGGTGTTAATCATGCATCTAGGGGCAGTTACCAAACAACCAGATATGTAGGATACCTTCAAGAAAGCAGAATTATGCCTGATCCAAAAATCTTCATTCCACTTCTGAACTTTGTCTCTTTCCAACCTAAACTCTCTTTCCAATTTTGATTCATTTCGCGGTATGGAGAACACAACAGGTCTCAAATTTGACAACTGATTTGGAGGTCCAATCATATCATTCTTGATTTCTGCGGGATTTGGTGGTTGATGTTTTGTTTCACTGGAGCTGGAGCTATAGAGTTTAGAAGAAAATTTAGTTGGAGCCTGAAACAAAAATATTACTTTCAGGTTACCTTCGTTTTCCTAAGATTCTGGTAGAAAATTTGAGCAACTGACAGGTCTCACCAAAAGAAAACACCGATTTTCATAACACTGAGACGGGGAGAACGGTCGAGGTAGAAAACGAGCCATTGTCAATAAAATTATGACCGGTTTAAAAAGAAAAGCTCAAACCTCTAACATTCACATGTCAAACTATTCCGTCGTTCGATCGTCGTGCGTCGTCTGCTCGCCCCCACCCCAGACTCAACTGTTTTACGACTGCGAATAACACGCTTCGCTCCTGGCGCCTTTCACTCCTCTCAGTTCAAATGTTGTCTAGTGGTAGCGGGGAGAGCAACTTTGTTCTGCCTTTTTGTAAGAGTTTGATGGCGGTGGTGAGAAATAAAGAGAGTCTGTAAAAAGCTTAGTTTATTCATTGAAAACTGTACAAAACGATCGTGGCGATGGAAGCAATGAGAGCAGAAGCCGTTGTTGAGCTCGCTCCCGAGGCTCGAGGGGTTGTAGCTTGGGTTGGAGACCCGGTCGGAGCATCGGTCGAGGGAATATCTGTCAACATGGGTATGAGGCGCGGTTAGCTTTTGAGTTTCCTGTCTGGTGGCGTTTGCTGATTGTAAACAGAAATAAAAGTCAAAATGTGTCACGTTCACGAAACGGCACGATACGTAAGTGACGTCGACGTCCCTGCTTGTGGCCACAGAGGAACGCTTAAGGGTCGGAAGTCAGCGTGTGGTCAGGCAGACTCGAGGCAAGGCGAGCACCAGACGCCCGTAGCCGCTCAAGTTCTCAAGTTCCAGCAAGCGCCTGGGAGGCAGGCCAGAAACCGCTCCCGCAGCGCACAGCTGAGAAGATGGTGGCCTACCTTGCGCCTACGGGCACTGCACCGCTTCTAGGGCCAATGTTTTGTTTGGAGCGGCCCGCGGCAACATCCGGTGAGTGGCTAGCCTCCGGACGAAGCTGGTCTCTGTCTCTGTCACTCTCTCCGCCCCGTGGTGGCAGCAGAGCCCTCCGAACCTCGCCGAATCCATGCGGCACGAAAAGGTAGGCCACCGTCCTCACTCCGCTGCCTTGCGCGACGGGCTGCTGGCCTACCTCCAAGGCGCTACGCCACAAGCACAGGCCGTCCTGCCGGCGAAAGACGCTCGCCTCATCTACACGCCGCACCACCAAGCTGACCCATGAGACGTTCTTGAACGCAACTTTGTGGCCACAGACATGGGGAAGTAAAGAAAGTGTAAAATTCTGTTACGAGAAAAAATAACTTTCGGGTACACCCCGTTTGGATCTTACCAAGACGTAGTGAGTGATAGATAGGCAGTATTAATGCGAAAGGTATCTTTTGATCACGAAAACAAGAAGCTTTATTTATACTGCACAGCAGATGCACATCTAGTTTGAAACAAACTTTTCCGCAAATACCGCAATTCCAAGAAGGCCCTTTGGAAAGCATCAAACACAAACACACTCATTTAAAAAAAATTCCCAAACACATACACACACTTACACATATGCAATCAAAACACAGAAATAGACAACACAGTGGCAATAAACACTTTACAATTTTTTTCATAAGAAATATGAGAAGATCCTAAAAATCAATACATCATAAATATACTTAATCATTTTAAATTAATAATCATAGTGTCTATAGTTTAAAGAAAAAATATATGCAGAGAGAAAACTATCTGTTACTGAAGGCAAGAATTCCTAGAGTGCTAAACACAAAGTTCAAATAAAATAACAAAGATTGTGGTGCCTCCATAACTCTAAAATCTAAAATCTTACATTGGCAGCAAACATCAAGTGCAAACAAAACACACAGAGACTAACATCTTACATCATTGTTGACTGTACACACAGAAAAAGTTGATCAAGTTTGTTCAAAGTAACATGCTTTCCCTCGTCTTTTCAAAACGGTTTCTTAATGAAATCTAATCTAGAAAAAAAGGTCACTCTAAAAAACATAATGACAATATCACATTATAAGAAAGTTACGTGGGGATGGGGGTACAGTGTTTCAGTTTGAACATTTGTTCTATGAGTTCATTGTCTTTGTTCAATATTCATACGTATTTTAAGGTCTAATAGGAAACGCACATAAATAGTAGATATCACTGGTTGCAAATATTGAAAACAGAACAAAGATTTGTTTAAAATTTGTTTCACATAATTATATTAACAACACATCATGCATATTTATTTCATCCTGCGGCAACTAACGCATGGTACACAATGTTGAAAAGTGTGAAATAAGTACGCAGGATCGGCGGGTCGGTTTATCACAGCCGTCTTGTCAAAATCTATACAAATATATTTAAATTAAAACATTCGCATCAGATAGGTGATAAAAATATTAAGCGCACGGTAAAGCCATGGTAAGTTATTAGTGAGACAGATTTTGGTTTCCAGTGCTAAAACATAAGCTCGATTCATTTCACGCTTTCAACCTTGCCACAGCGCTCGTCACTTTTCGAAAACAGCTAGTCGAGCCTTCAGGTGAGTTGGGACCAGCCCCACGCACTACACTGGCAAGAGAAGGCAAATCATTTCAGCTAAATTTGAACCTAATCAAAAACTCCAAAATTGAGTTTACTATTTTGTTCTAGAACGCAATGACAGTGAGATGTTGAGTCAGAAACAGGAGCAGTAGATGTTGCCACACGACATGAATGACGAGGCCGGAGCAAAGACTCGACGCGTCAAGAAGGTGGCTGAAATACCCCTCGAAAACAAAAGTAGAAAAACAACAACAAAACTTCCAAAATCACTGCAAACAACAACAACACAAAGCGCTTTGACACTGCACCGCGGATGGCTTGGAGACGGGGGACGGACTTCCACACGACTAGACAGAAAACGAAAGCCAGACCAGCTAGCTTCATCAAGCAGTCTGCAGCCAGTCTGCAGCAGGGGTGCGTGGCGTGGGGCGACGTGGCCATGGCCGTGGCGCAGAGAGCCTAGGGCGTCTAGGGAGTCTAGGGGGCTCAGCCCGAGCCCTGCGCGCCACCGTGCTCGCCGAGGCCCTGACCGAGGCCCTGACCGAGGCCCTGGCCCTGGTCGTGCTGCGTGGCCAGGGACGCGGGCTTGTCCTCGGCCAGGCCTCGGCCCAGCGACTGGCCGACGGCGCTCAGGGCCGCGAGCACGGGCGAGTTGGTCACTTTGTTGGAGAGGCCCTTGCGCACGCGGTCCACGGTGTTGGCCAGCGAGTTGGACACGTCCACGCCACTGCCCCCCGCCACGCCAGCCACGCCCCCGGAGCCACCTTTGCTGCTGTATTTGTCGAGTAGCTCGAAGACCAGGCCGTTGGTCCAGCCGAAGCCCGCCTGCACAGTGTACTCGCCGCCGCCGCCGAACCGGCCGATGTTCTCCGCGTCGTACTGCAACAGGAGGAAGAGGGCGAGGCCCCGTCAGCACGGCCCTCCACTGCCAGGACATGAAGCTAGCCAGACCGTCGCCTCACCTTCTCGAACATCATGGAGTTCTGCTCGAAGCCGATGTAGTTGGCGTGCAGCCACCGCCGGGCCAGCTCATCGGCCAGGTTCTGCGCGTCGGGCTGCCCCGTCTTGTCCAGGCCCTGCACGATGAAGGCCTGCAGCGGCGCCCAGCAGTTGGGGAAGTCCCACTGCTCGCCCGTGTTGGCCAGCGAGGACGGGGTGCCGCCGCGGTACGACAGCACGCCACTGTGCTCGATGTACTTGACGACCTGCGCGAAGAAGAAGGGGACAGTCAGGGCGCCGCTCAGATCGGGGTGTCCGCAGGCATGCCGCAGGCCGGGACGGCGTCTCGGCTGCCTACCTTCTCGGAGATGTGCTTGACGTCGTTCTGGTCGTAGCAGTCCGACCAGAGCGGCGCCAGGTTGGAGCCGTAGAAGTACTGGCGCTGCTTCTTGTTGAGCACGTCGTAGTCGTACCAGATGCCGTCCGCCTCGTTCCAGAGCACCGCCGTCACCGCCTCGCGCAGCTCGCTGGCGATCGTGTTGTAGGTCAGGGACTTGGTGCGCTGCCCCAGCAGCCTGGTGAACTCCTGCAGCGACCGGGCCGCGCCGTACAGGAAGGCGTTCAGGTCCGCGGGCACGATCTTGGTCGCCTTCAGGTCCCTCAGCTGGCCTGCAGCGCGGCAAGAGAAAACGGCTCGTAAAATTGCATTTCAACGAAAACACAATATTTTTGGTTGCCTCTACCAGCGATTGTACAATGTCGAAATATAAGCATGCTTACCGTTGTTTGTGCCCTGGTCGTCGATGAACCAGCGGCTGGAGAAGTCCCAGCCGGTGGCCGCGCCGGACTTGAGTTCCCAGTACATGCGCTGCTTGGCGTCCTCGGTCGGCAAGCCCTCCGTGGTCTCGAAGTCCTCCCTGCAGGCCGTCAAGAACACCATGAGCTTCAGTTCGGATATTGGATAGAATGGAAGAGTGGGTCGCTCCCAGTGCACTTACCGGTAGGATTCCGGCCGGGGGCCGTTCGACATGAAGATGTACCTGGCGAGCTTGTACGTCTTGCCGTTACTATCAACCTGCCAAAAACAGAGAAAAGTGAAAATCCGGCTCGAAACCATGAGCGAAACTTGGAACGCGGATCGAGACGTGAACTCACATCAACCATGGAGTTGTTCATCCAGAAGTTGAACTCCTGCTCGAGCGTGTCGAGGTTGTCCTTGACGAACTGCAGGTCCTGGGTCTTGTCGTAGTAGGCCTGGGCCATGGCGAGCAGCAGCGGGGGCTGGGAGCGCTCCTCGTAGTACACGCGGCTGCCGTTGGGCACGAAGCCGAGGTGCTTCACCAGGTGCAGCAGGTTCTCGATCACGCCCTGGAAACAGTTAAACGTCCACGGTGAAGATCCAAAATAGGGTGGAAAGGGTGGAAAAACAGCAACACTTTGCCACTGTACAGTACGTAGGCAAATCCCCCTTCTTCAGGCTTCACTGGCCTTTCCGGGCGGGCAGACTCGTTCCGAGAGTCGTTCTGTCTCTCTCGCACTCATGGGGAGTCCCGGAGGCAGGAGGGGCGTTACGCGTTACGGTGCACTCACCTTGGCAGTGTCGTACATGTCGCAGTGCAGCAGCCCCTGCACGATCCAGTACGAGTCCCAGTAGTACAGCTCCTTGAAGCGGCCGCCGGGGATGACGAAGCCGTGCGGCACGTAGATGAGCGAGTAGAGCTGCGGGTTGAGCTGCACGTCGGCCTTCATCTTGCGGCCCAGCGTCTTCCACAGCTTGTTGAGGCCGGCCGCCCAGTCGCGGAACTTGTCGTCCACGATGCGCTCCAGGATGGCGGGCTGCGCCGTCCAGTCGCTCGGCACCCACTCCTCGAGCTCGTCGCCGTCCTGCCGACCAGAACACCGCGGTGAAGTTGGGCGCGCGTTTGACATCCATTGAGGGGAGATAGTGGGACAGTACACTAAAAGCCAGTGCAGCCAAATTGCCTGTCGGTTATTTTCTCCAACTCACCTCGAATGTTTGGTTGACGAAGGCCTGCACTCGTTCGAAGGTCGGCTTGTCTCCCGTCTCGTCCATCATGGCGTTGAAGTGCTTGAGCGCGATCTCCGGCGACTCGCGCACCTTCATGTCCACGAAGGTCTTGGAGTCCGGGAAGATCTTGGCCGTCTGCACCACGTGCAGGAGCTTGCCCTTGCAGTAGATGTCGCTGCGGACACAACAAAGGACAGTCAGACTCCCGTTCAAAGAAGCTTCTGGGTTTTGGGGGTTCTGAGGAGCTGTACAGTACCGTGGACTACCCCAAGTCCCCCGCGTATCGGCTAGCACCAGCGCGGCCTACGGCTTGGCCTTCGGCGGGCCGCCCGACGCACAGTAGTACGTAGTACACCCCCTACGGCGGTCCGCAGCGTCGGGGCTTCGCGGCGTGCAGGAGCATCGCCGAGAGTCCTCGGGGCCGACGACGGCGACGTCGACGCCCCGCGAGGCCCACAATGTTTCCATCGGATTAATTCAGCGCAATTAGCAGTGGCGTGTCAAGCGACCCGCCGCGGCGTGCTTGACGGCGTGCTCGCGCCGTGGCCGCCAGGTGCCACAGCTATCGCCTGCAGCCGCTATCTGCCCAACTCACACCGCCCGCCGCGCGATCGGCGCAGTGTCTCTATCTCTGTTGCACTCCTGCGGAACGTCCGGGAACGCCCCGCGAGTGCGTGAGAGACAGAGCACCGTTCGGAAGTTCGGAATCAGCGTGCAGTCTGTCGGGTTGTGATCACGCGGCGGCTGCGCGCGGTGCGCGCCGCGCGACGGCTGGAGGGCGGATCGTGACAGATAAACCGTCCAAGTCGTCCCAGGCGACAGCCACACGAGTTCGAGTCTTTAAATAGAGACAACAAATGGAGAGGTTTGAATAGAGTGAGCAGAGTGCCCCTCGCGTCGATCAATTTCTTTCGTCATCCCCGTGTTGGCGAGGAAAAGAAGCAGACCAGACAGATGCAAATGCCGTGCTTGGCCGCGCTCACCAAGGTCGCCCCGCGCGTGCCTGCCATGGCCCGCCATGGCCTGCCACTGCCTGCTTGCCACGCCCGGAACGTGACGGGACGGGACGAGGGGCAGGGCGGCAGAGCGGCAGGGCTCCCAGGGCGAGACTCCGGCAGGGAGCGACGCCCTGACCCGGCCCGCCCGGTGACCACAAGCACACGCCACGAAGGGGTGGCGGTAACGGTGCGGCGTGGTGACAACCATGTTTGCCCGGCGCTATCGAAACGCACCCTGGGGGAACTCGAAGCCAAGCCCGGCCCCGGCAAATAATCGCATGATTCGATTCACCCACCCCGTCCACGTCGACCACGCGGCCGGCTGCCTGTCGTCGTTGCCGCCGAGGAGGCAACGGCCGCGCAGGAGACTCCGCCAACCAGCACGGCGTCGACGCGGTGCGGCGCGCGGCGCCAAACACGCGCTCCGCAGTTCCGCAGCCACAACAAGCACGCCGCGGCCGCGGCGGTCGTCGGTCCAGCGCCGCCACGCTCCACGTTGAATTGGGGCGACGGCCGCGGCCGCATTGGCCGCCAAGGGCGGTGTGTGTATGTGTGTGAGCGAGCGCGCGTGCGTGTGTGTGCGTGTGGCGACGAGTCCCGCTGGAGGACGCGGAGAAAGGGTTGCGCTATTTATAGGAGGCTGCGCTGCAGACTCGACGCTCGACCCCAATAAGTGCACGGTTGTGGCTGTGGGACTGCGGGACTTCCCCGGGCGGGGCTTCTCGACTCCCACGACCCCGGACCGCCCGGACTCCTCCGCGGAAGGAGGGTCGCGGTCAATGGTTCGGGAAAAGAACACGACAAATATTGGCGATGGGGGGAGTGGGGGGAGGGCGCTTCTAGGACGACACTCGGCGTCGCTCGGCGCCACGACGCCCCAGTTTCCGCGGAAGCCTCGCGCCGCGTCCTGGCACCACGCACAGCGCGCGGCGCAGTGCCCGTCCCTCTCGCACCCGTGCTGGACAAGGCATGGGTGCGAGAGAGGCAGAGCGAATCAGCCCGACGGCGCGTGTTGCTTCAGTGGCGAGGGGAAGCCTCGCGTCTCTGCCCGTCTGTCTGTGCGCGGCGTTGCGTGTTGCGTCATCCAGGCTGTCCGGACCACCAGGACCAGGCTGGGGTGGCGGGCGCCGCCGGGGTGGTGGAGACTGCCGCCTGCCTCCTGCCTCCGCAGCACGACGGCGCGACACGTGCAGCGGGAGCCAATGACCGCACGTACACACACACACACACACGCGCGCGCGCGCGCGCTCTCTCACACACGCGCCACGAAAATCTGGCCGGTTATGACAACCCCAGCCGATAAGGTAAAAGTTTGCCAAAGCGTGCCGCTCGCTCGCCGCGCATTCGCGAGCCCTCCGGCCAACTCGAAATGGAACAATGAAGCAAACCGCTCAGGGATTCCCGTCGCCCAAATCGGGGCCCATCCCGTCGGCAACCGGTTCCGGAATGGGATCGCTTTGGGGGAAGAACCGGAGCGTCCGTGCCTGCGCTGCCTGCGCTGCCTTTCCCGACACGGCGTCACGGCGAGACACACACCTTGCAATCAGCTTGGGCTTCTCCGCCTCCACGTCTGAGCACTGCGATCTCAGGGCGATGACGTCATCGAGGGAGGACAACATGTCGGCCACGGCCACGTTGTCCACCACGTTGTCCAAGGCCATCATGTCCAGCACGTCGACGGGCCAGCAGTGCGGCTCCGACACGAGCATGGTCGCCATGATGAGGGTCTTCTTGTTGCGCTGGCGGGAGTCGTGGGGCGCGGGGATCACCGTCCCGGGCCGACGTCGGCGACGCGGCGGGGGCGGCCGATGGGCACCAGCACGGCGAGGAGGACGGCGTGGAGGACGGCGGACGACCGCTGCTGCTGCTGCCGCGCTCTTCTTGTCCAACGAAGGCAGAGCGGCGGTCGGGGAGTGGTTGCTTCGTCCTGGGGAACACAAAGGTTGACGTCCTGTTGTGCCGACAAGCCCGCCCCGTCCCCGCCCGGTCGGAGCCTGGCACTAACCCAAGACCGCGACACCAAGAGGACGCACTGCAGGGCGTGCAGCGGCCGCACCGCGACTAGCTGACCTGCGCCTAACCCGCGCAGGACGCTGGGAACGCGGCGTTTATCGGTTCACACGGCCAAGTATTGTCACACCGAGATAGCCGACGGCATGCCGATGGCCGCGCACCAGAGCGGGCAGAAACTAGCCCACCTTGGCGTGCCCGGTGACCCTCCCTAGTCCCTTCCCTCTGCTCCGACCGGGTAGCGCTGGACGCGCTGGGGGCCTCTCACTCACCACGCCCTGCGGGGTCAGTGGAGGTCACTACTCGGCGGTGTCCTGGCACTGGCAGTCCTTGAAGTCCTTGCTGACGTCCGTCTGCAGCCGAGTCTCCTTGCGCACTGCGCTCCGTGCTCGCTCCGTGCCACAGTGCCTCGCCTGGCTTCGAACCCCGTACGGCCTGCCTGCCTGACTGACTGGCGTTCCTCCCACCCTCGATGACGTAGCGCCGGCCCGAGCCGGGCCCCGCCGAGCCGAGCCGGGCCGGGCTGGGCTGGGCTTAGCGCGGAGCGCAGCACCCCGCCCACCCCGCCGCGCCATGGTCCGCGTGCTGGACGGGACGACGGCACGGGACGCCGTCTGGACTGCCGCCGGTGCTGCCACCGCCGCACGGCGATCGCCGCAAGCTCCGCGGCGCCGTCTCGTCCACACCGGGGGGAGGAAGGGGTAGGGGTGTGTCCAGGGCCGTGCCGCCGTGCCGTGCCAGGCAGTCCGAGGCTCAGGTTCGGGCATAAATATCCTAGCGCCGGGTAGTTTTCTTCGTCACATTTTTCTTGCTCATCTTCGTTCTTCTTGTGTCCTTGACGAAAGGTGACCAGCAGGCCAGAAGATGGAGACGGGGGGACGGCGGCGAAGTACCTAGCAGCCAATACATGCGCCTGACGATAGGCGACACCCCGTCAGCGACAAGCCAAATCATTTACCTCGCCTGCGCTCGCCTGAGGTGCTGAGACTTGTCTAGCTCCACCAGCTCCACGCCGCCGGGAGCGCGCAGCAAGGCCGTCTGTGTTTTGGTTACCCTTGGACGCAGCACGGTGGGGCAGGACTCACGTGTGGTCCATTTCGAGGGCAAGGCCCGGCCAGGCCCCGCGAGCGGCGACGGAGCGGCAGGGATTCAACACCCTTGGCGCCGCTGGCCGCCGAGCCGCCCTGGCCGTTGCCAGGCGTTGCCGGGGTTGGGGGTAGGTCAGTGCTGGCGGCGCTGGCGGTACTTTGCCGCCGCGAGGCGTGGGGGAATATTCCGGCCGGACTAGGCTGTGCTGTGTGCCGCCACTGCACTGTACGCGGTGAATGCTCGTCGCACCTCGCGCCCGGCCGCTCATTCCAAACATCCCGGCGGAGAGCCCCATGAGTGCGAGGGAGACAGAGCGATACTGCTCAGCTCGCTCGACGTGCCGCAGATCAGCGGGTTCGCGAATGATGGAAAACGCCGCCAATTCGATCCGCGGATGGATCGCCAACCGCGGACCTGGACCGCGGGTCGGATCGGGACGGAACAACCCGGCCGGGAGAAACGGAGAAACCGGCAGACTGATTCCACTCCAGTCGCTCTGTCTCTCTCGCACCCGAACGGGGCGCCACATGCGCCGTGCGACAGCTTGCTGCCTGCTGTGCTACACAGGAGACAGGTCTCATCCAGAACATGAGGGGCTGCCGCGAGCACCGCGACGACGACGCAGCGCCTCGACAAGAAGGGGTACGGTTCCCCAGCAGTGACGTGGTGGCGCGGCGGGGCGGGGCGGGGCGGGGCGGGCGGGGCGGGGCGGGGCGGGGGGGCGGGAAAGTAATTGCAGGTGTTGTCACACAGGTAGACGTCGTCGCCGGCGCGGCGCGGCGCGCGGTCGGGAGGTGTGTCTCGCCGGCAGCCAATCGCGGCGCCGCTGTCTAGGTCGTCCCCCTCCGCCCCCGCCGTCCCCGTCCCCGTCCCCGCCGAGTGTGTACCAGTGTGCACGCCTTGCGTGGAGGCTGCCGGCCTGCCGGCGGTCGACGTGGCGCGGTCGCGGCCCGCGGCGCGGCGGGGCGGAGAGAGTACGTCACTACATGCACGGGGCTCGAACAGCCGAACGGCCTGGTGATTCTGCAGATTCGCAAAGGGAACACGCGAGCCTCTGCCCCTGCGCAAAAGGCAAAGT